CTTAAGCCCATCGGGAAGGGGAGGCACTCCTGGTGGACGAGGCACACCGGATACCGGTTCGGGGGCTGGATATGGCGGAGGCGGAGGTACATTATCGGATTGGTATGCTTGCCGATTGTGAATCATGTGATCATTGACTCGTGCTAATCTGCGTGTTTCTCTTTCAGGGAACGTCAGAGTTGGAGATGTAGCAACTGTATGGTATGGGGTTCTGCGGTCTGGGCAGTACGAGATGGTCCTGCTGGTCCAAGGGTGAGACTCCTCCTACAGCAATTTAAGATTCGAGTCGTCCACTAACTTGATATGTCTAGACTCTTTGCCACAATTGCGGCCTATTGTACGAACGTGACAAGGTCACCCCGGAATGGTCAAGAGACTTGCATCGCCACGATGTACCAGTTGGTCGGTAGTTACCAGAGCTAGCTGCCAGCTATACCTACTCCCCGGAATGACCATCGCTGCGGCGTAAATTTGTTCCTCATAAACCAGGCCAATCGAATCATCAAACTCAGCAATCGCTATCTCTGGGGGATTCATCCATGGCTAGGATCATGAAGCTGTCCTTTTTCTTCCCACGGCTATTCTACATGAGCTTGGGGACATAAGTCATGTATTTCTTCTTTTCTCTATTCTCATTCCCTTTCCTGAGTTTGGCACGATATCTCTCATGAACCTTGAAAGAGGCAGGACGCCGGCGCATATGATTTTGACTTTACAATTTTCGAGCTTAATTACCCTTACCAGCATTAGCTGCCGGCCCGTTGTCTGAAACGTTGCTTTTTCTTGTGGAATCGAGCATCATTTGGTCGGATTTGTTTGAAAACCATTTACTTCTATAGCTGTATTCTGAAAGAGAACCATTTCACCTGATCGGTTTTCAATACCGGCACCTCTTTCACTTTCTACTGGGGTCTCTCCAGGTGTTGTCCGATATACTTTTCATTGGTCATTTGAAGCAAGTCAATCTCAGACTGTTTCTGTAGTATTTTGTGGAGCGCGGCGTGCTTTTAAAGCTCAGTTACAGGTCTCGCCATGGATGACTTTCGGGCCGTTCGGCCAGCTTCGGCATAGAACGTGATAAAAGGAATGCTCTCAAACTAGAAATCGATCAATCGTCATAGCATAGTAATGATGATTCAATTAGTAGTGGTACATATCGCTGACGGTGCAGTATGGAGAGGCGCAGGACATCTCAGTAGATAGCAAAGGAGTGCTTTTCTCTATCGATGCTTATGCGAGACCTTTCAAACACAAACGCCCTGATGCATTTTGACAACCAGAAGTATCAAGACATCGCATATGAAAAACATGGGTGTCCGTGGAGATGCCAAAATTGAAATGCCTCTCCGCGATTATTGCGCACAATTCTTCTTGAACTTCTGCGCTTCGAAAGGCTCCTGTATCAGATTGTTAGCCAAAGAATTCATGATCCAGCAACTTGACAAGCGGCGAAGGTGCAAATGACATACTGATAGAGCTCGTCTCTTTCGGTTTGGAATGACTTGTCGATCTTTGTCCGTGCCCATCGGGGCGCTCTTATTGCTCTGGGCCCGGACTGTAGCACCAACGCAAATGACGTTGCGGCTCCCCTCGACCTTGATTCCTGTGTTAATCTTGATTTCAAGCGGTGCAGGTTCGTGGTCTTCTGCCGGGGGCGCTAGCCGGCCCGAATCGTACAAGGCATTGATGATGGAGGTTGCCATTTCGGTCAATCTAGCCTGGCGTTGCTTCTGAACCAAGTGCAGAGCGTCCATCTCAGAAGCTGCTGGTGAAGTGGAAGTAGAGGAGGATAAATTCTCGGAATTCATTGAAGTAGAAACTCTCGAAGTTTGCTGAGGATGGCCTGCCGTAGATGGGATCATGACGGTGTTGCCGTTGCCCACCACACTAATGGAGGCGTCAATGCTAATCGTAATAGGAGTGGAGTTGGCACTGGTGCAGGTTTCCCAGGCAGTGCCCTCGATGGTCTCTAGGGCATTCTGTCTCTCCTCATGGGTTGAAGCTCGTGGAACAGTTGGAGAGTATGGAGGTGGTGATGTACAGACCACACGGTTGCGCGCATTAGCGGCCACTTCTCGAAGCTTGTTGGAGTGATGCAAGAGAGAATTCGACGGTGGCAGCATTTTCTATAAAAGCAAAGCAACTTTTAAAAGTATTGCAGCAGCTGAGGCAATGCGCAGGTATGACTTTGGAGTGGACCTTAAATATGATGCTGTGGTCCGAAGAGCCGCGTTTAGGTTGGTACCACTGAAATCAAACCTGAAGATAGATTGTTAAAGGAAGCTATCTCTGAAACCAAGATGAGACTTGCTGGTTATATAACTCATGATAGACATTAGCGGCACGTAGCTCCAGGTCAGTAGGAACAATAGCATGCAAGACGTTATTGATGCAGACCAAATGATGACAGCCCGCTTTTCCTAATAGTTGGGCGAAGAGCAGCGGTGCATCAATAGTTGCTGGCACTTGTGTTTATTCGCTAATAAATAAAGTGTGGTTGGTAACAATGCCCCCAGCCCTCTTATTGAGTTGGTATTGTTCTTTCCCATCAATAGGCAGAATAGGATCACGTGCAGTCCAGCTATTTGTCAACCCCCCTGAACATCAGCCCAGTAAAATTGTTGTAAAGGGATAAGAAATAGCAGAATATTACTATTTTATTGATGTATTCCCGGTCAATGATCGAGGCTGGAAGACGGGTAGATGTACAAAGGTAGGTAATGAAACATTCATCACTGGCCTCCATCAAGAGTCTATGAAGAAAGAAATAAATGAGGGCGGATGCAATGAATGCTACTAAAAGGGAGTACACCTACTGCCATGTCCAAGACTGAATTGAGCTTAATACACCTTGAATGCTCCTTAGTCTCCCACATTGCAGTATTCAAAAAGGGACGGCAAAAAGCTGATTGGGTATAATGACCAATACCCAGGTAGGCTCAAATCCCGCCATAATTCCAACTCGCATAGAGAGAGTTATCGTCTCCCAACCCTGCCCCAGTTGATGAAGCACTGGGTATCTCCCTGGGCGCTGCTTTCGAAGTCGCTATGGATTCAACGGTATTCGGCGTAGAAGGGCTCACTTGCGGACGATCTGCTTGGCACATTGCATCGCGTCAGGCCTTGGATTGGTGCACTGTCATCCCGTACGCAGTATACTGGGCCCCTCCAATGTGTCGGACTTACTGATATCGCTGAATGTAACGCTGTCGGGCTCATCCTGATGTGGTGGAATTGATGTCTGTTGCCGCTGCGTTTGTTGCTGGCCACCGGGATAATATTTACCGCCGGGATGTAGTGACTGCGACGTCTGATCATGAATTAGCAGGAACAAGAGCCATTATGAATGGAAACAATTTTTACCAGCGTTCGTGCCACGCCAGCCGAAATATGAGAGATCACGGACTGGTACTGACTTCACGAAACTCGTCATCCTCGATCTGGACTTCGCGATCCCGGATGCGACGCATCAGCGCCAGGAAATTGCTCTGTCTGAACTTTTCGCTCTGATCGTGGCTGACACTGTCAAGTAACTGTCCTGCAGTCCTAGCGAGCTCATCCGCATCGTTGACCCGGCTTAACGGGCCGTTCTGGTCGATTTGTGGTATAGTATCTGACCCGATCTTGATTTGCTGGGTGGGCTCTTGAGCTGTGCTTAAATCGGGCTGGATCGTCTCGCTTGCAAGCTCGGCATTCTCCTCCGTTGCGTTCGTTTCCTGTAAGGCCATGTCCGCTCTTGCTTGTTCAAATGCAGCTTCGAAGGCCGATTCATCAATTGTCTCTGTGGCGTGTTGCTGGTCGATTTCCGGCCCATGTACAGAGGGAAAGGTGTTCATTACCCCTCCATGTATGGGATTGTGGTGTGAGAAAGACGGTTGGAAGCCTCCCGTATATTGCTGATGTTGCTGTGTAGGTGCTGGGCGTTGCTGCTGTTGTTTCAGGAATTCACTGTGCCAACCTTGTCGTGACATCGCCGACGCCGGGGTTGCAGACGGGCCATGATGCTGCTGAGTAGGATGGGAAGGCCCTGAAATGTGTAGTCTCTGAAAGTCGGCCGCCCAGGTCACATTCTCGGCATGGCTAGCCACCGGAAGCTGGTGGGGATGTGCTGAGAAAGGTCCTGCATGTTGTAGATTGGGAAGTGACGGTCCAGCCAGATCGGACTCAAAAGCAGCAAACTCGGGGTCTAGAACACCGTCGCTCAAACTCTGGGATCTGAAGCCCTGTCAAAGAAGAATGTTCAGCCGACCAGTTCGATCCAAATCAAAAAGCGTTCCGGGTGAGTCGCAACCTTGCTTACCTGAGAGGGCGACCGGCGGGAGATCAGCCGATCCTGTTGGAGAGTCCGATCAACAGATGCATGTTTCTGGAAGTTCTGCAAGGCATTAGACGGGCCGCACAAAGCATCACTCATACTGTCAGTGACTTGGAGCACGGTAGCTGGGTGGAAACAAGTCTTTGGAAGGTGGAAGAAACGTGTGATCGATCGTAGAACGGACTATAAGCTACGCCTCAAATGCGAAAGGCGCGGAATAGAGATATGTCCAAAGATATGTCTATTCAGAAAGTAGAAAAGTACCTTTCTAGAGTGACCGAGAAATTATACTCATGTAAAAGGCATGAAGAGGCAAGTTAAAGACGGGGTAGAGCAACGCCCGTGGGGTAGGTTGGCCGAGGGTCAAAGCCGAGGTCCGTCTCACGTGCTTCTAGGCATGACCACTGACCGGAGAGCGCTGAGTCAGCTTAGCTGATAAGATAAGATCACAGCTCGTGCGGCTTGGCTCAAGTCTCGACAGTGAAACGGACAAGCTGGCGGTACGGATTACGGAGTCCCTGTTTGCATGTTGATTTCGATCCTCCACCGCCGCTATCTTCACCCCTCCCCGGACTCGTCTAGAACGGCAATCCAGTGCGATATATATCTCTCGAGCTAATTTTTTTTCTAAAATTTTTTCCGTCTGTTGCAGTAATACTTGCTTCGGGCAGTCCCATTGGTCATCATGGTATGTTTATTTCGGGCAGCTCTCCCCCCCTTAAGCTTCGCATTGTTCTCTTGTTGACGTGTACCAAAGGCAGCTGCTCAGGTTATTTCGAACTCTGGTCATGATGATATGATTGTACGTGATAATGCGCCATGTCAACCTCATGATATTACATCACGACCGCGGGACTAACTTGACCGGCCCTTTCTTGCAGCACGACGCCGGATTGGACTACTATGGCCGCAGATTAGCAACATGTTCGTCGGATAAGACAATAAAGATTTTCGAGATCGAGGGGGAGACACATCGCTTGGTTGAAACGCTGAAAGGGTGAATTACCTCGACTCTTAATGGCTCAACTTTTCTAATTGCTAACACGGGCATCTTCGGAATCAAAAGACACGAAGGTGCGGTGTGGTGTGTGGCATGGGTAGGTTTGAGAGTCCTTTTCATGCAGAGCCCTCGTGTCGTTCGTATGGCTAATATGTTGTCTACTCTACGTCTCAGGCTCACCCTAAGTTTGGCACGATTCTGGCCTCTTCTTCGTACGATGGAAAAGTGCTTATCTGGCGTGAACAACACCAAAATACGACATCCCCCGTTGCAGGCAGCACCTGGACAAAGGTTTTCGATTTCTCCCTCCACACTGCGTCGGTGAACATGGTGTCCTGGGCTCCACACGAGAGCGGATGTCTCCTTGCTTGCGCTTCTTCAGACGGGCATGTGAGTGTCCTCGAGTTCCGCGACAACAGCTGGACTCATCAGATCTTCCACGCTCATGGAATGGGTGTGAACTCGATCAGCTGGGCCCCGGCAGCGTCTCCCGGTAGCTTGATCAGCTCGAACCCTGGTCCAGGTCAGCAGCGGAGATTCGTTACCGGAGGCAGTGACAATCTGCTGAAGATATGGGATTACAAGTACGTTTTCGAGTCTTCCTGAATTTGAAGCCGACGACTGTACTAATGACTATGCTTATAGCCCGGAAAGCAAGACTTACAACCTCAGCCAGACATTGGAAGGCCATTCGGACTGGGTCCGTGACGTCGCCTGGTCACCCAGCATTCTATCCAAGTCTTATATCGCCTCTGCGTCTCAGGATAAGACTGTGCGGATCTGGACCTCTGATGCATCGAATCCCGGCCAATGGACCAGCCAGCAGCTGGAATTCGACACTGTCCTGTGGCGGGTTAGCTGGAGCCCTAGTGGAAACATCCTTGCTGTAAGCGGAGGGGACAACAAGGTCAGCTTGTGGAAAGAGAATTTGAAGGGACAATGGGAGAAGGTAAAGGACATTGAGGAGTAGATTTGATCTTTTATTCCATTGATTTTCATTTGTCTGTTATCATATTCCCATCTTATTAAATGGTGAAAGAGGTCTGGGCCATTCAAATGTCTCCATCCTGCATTCCATCGCATTTCATCCCGACGAGAGAAAACACTTAGAACAGCGAATCATGAGAAAGACTACATCATGGAGCAGCAAGAAGTATCCACCGCCGAAAGTTGCGATGTGTCTTAACGCAAAATGAGTCGTCACACATTCCAGAAAATGAAAGGACCTCGGGCAGTCGGCTCTACCATATCAATCCATCGTCCGATCATGATCGTTCCACTGGGGAGAATGACTCCCTCGTATCCATGGACCCAATTGAATTCCACCTCCAAATCATATGGCGGCCAGGCTTCCTCCGGAAGCCATAGATCCTCCTTTCCCTTTCCAGATGTCCCATCATCGTTTGGTATAAGCGGAAGTTGTTCCCTGTCCGCATCGTAAATGGCAAAGCATATACGGCGCCAATGGGGGAAGCCACCGTGAGCGGTCGGAATGGGTTCTGTGAAGCCCCGCACCAGGTATGTTGAATCGTCATCAGATCCGTGCTGTGTTTCAATGCCGCGAAAGTACGAGCAATGCGTTCTCGACCCCAGGATAGGGATGATGCTGTCGAATAAGGTCGGCCAGTTCAAGGGGTCAGGATCTAGCTTGATTCGCAAAGACTTAACACGAACCCAGTGTCAGCTACCTAATAAGCTGACTGACGTGTAGGCAGATCTCACCATCGGGTCCACCTGCGGCCAATGCGTCTCCAGATCGGCGCATGTCTGACGGTGTTCCAGACGAGTCAGCGAATCTGGATACGGATGGATGCACGCTGTGACAGAGATTCGATCACTTCAGGTTAGCTTCTTCCTGTACGGTTCTCAGCAGGATAAAGATTCCTCAATGACTGACAGTAATAACCCAACCAATAAGTACTAACGCAAGACTTGCTGTCGGCCAGACATCGCGTGGCTTTCGGTCGCTGACACAGCGATGTATAGGAGGAGTAGAATGTGGCTTCGATCGGATTGAGGAGATGTCGAAGCCAGAAGTTGCGAATGTGCAAAATCTTCTCCAGGTCCAGCTTCTCTATATTCACAAGCGACTCACTGATATCGACTTGGAATGAATATACGGCGCCAATATCATAGTCATTCCTGAGGCAATAGAAAGCCATAGACGGGTCCAACGCCAGGTGAGTGAAGCACTAGAATGTTTAATGAGACCCGTATCCAATTTTGAGACTCATATAGCGGGTGAAGGGCTTACTAGCTGAACAGCGTAAAACAACTCGGAAGGCGCATCGGCATTCGCGTCGCCATATCCGCTCACAGGTCGATTCAGGAATTCCGAGTTGTGAAGTGTCTTACGAATCTGCTCGTGGAGCTTGGAAGCAGTGTGTTCATCTGTCGGGGCTGATTCAAGTGCTTCCAGAAACATGTCTCTCAGCACTTCCAGCCATAATGTTTGCTCCTTCTTCTGGCCGTATCGGAAGTTGATCTTCTGAGACAGCACAATAGAACGAATCTGATACTCCAGTTTGAGCTCACTTGAAGAGCGTCTCTGAGGGATACCGTACAGGTCCTTGAATCGCTGGCGCCAGATGGACGAGTGAGCCGGTAAGATCGCCCTAGCTAGGTGGACACAGCACGACACGAGATTGACTATATCGACATCGCTCGGGAGAAGATATGCAATATACTGAATTATCTGTGTTAAGGTTGTTAGGCACTTGTCCATCTAGACATTGACTCAGGGCAAGTACCTCTGTTGGAAGCTGCAGCAAGGGACTTGCGTTTTGACGACTCCGAGCCCGTGGGTCTGTCTTTCGCCGGCTTATTTCTCGACGGTGGCCTGGAGTGTCACTGTAGCTAGCTAACTCGTGACTGCCGCGCATTCTGGACATGGTTGCTTGTAAAGAAGCGTGTGTGGTATGGGTGTCACGCAAAGATGTGTTAATAAGAGACGCAGCTTCCTTTGGTTGACCAAAGAGGACGTTGAAGGAGCGCTTCGCCGTACTGAGTATCCAAGAGTTGACCAAATGAAGAGTGAGATCTTTGTGTCTGGTCGTTGGTAATTGAAAGGGACGAAGATGAGGTGAGTGGATGACTTGTTGAACAACCGCGTGTCGGCTTCATCTCAGGCCGGTCGTCTGACTGCATCTTTCAAGCTGTCATGTTTACTTAACATCTTGCACTCCGGGACAATAAAGGCAACCCATCTGCTTCGATGTATCCTCTCTCATCGTTTACCTCTGAGCCCGAACATTTCTGGTGGAAGCAGATATTTCGCTTTGTGCCTCTCCGTCTCACTCGACAAATGCGCATAGCACCCCGATTTGGACTGCGCGAATCGAGAACCACTTCCTTTCGTCTTTCTAAGAAGAAGTATCGAAACCTGGATTCCTCAATCGAACCAACAACGGTGACGACTGCCTACAAGGTATGCATACCTACATTGGGCCCGAAAGGAGTCGGCCGCGAGACAGAGACGTCGCGCTATTCGAAGCATGCAGTGGCAATAACCGGTCGGAATTAATACCTCAGAGCTCAGCAGCTTGGGCCGATGATGCGGTCAAAGAAGTGATGATGGCGACTATGGCTCCTAGCGTCAAAAGTGTAAGAGTGACTCGAGAGATACAAGATGGGTAATCCGGTCATGCTAAGGAAATTCGCCATCCTTCTTCAGAAGTTACGAGCAGATACTGTCGCCAAAGGCTTAAAAAATTTTGATTGACCACGTCATTTTCCAAATGGGAGTAAAAGTCAGCAAGACCTACATGGGTGCCTGGTCATAGACCTAGATCCAAGTTCGGTTTAACCAATTTGCGCTGTACCGCGATTTCTTGTCAAACTTTCTCTGACACCCCAACCGTTGGCGAGAAGGCCTTTGACCTCCTCCAGGCTAAGACCGCTCATTTCGGGGTAAATGGCCCAGACGCCAAACCATCCAACAACACAAACGCCCGCGTAGGCTGTAAATGTCCAACTCGGAGAAAGCCAATCCATCATGGGCAAGAAGGTAAGTCCGACAATGAAATTGGACGCCCAGTTCGTTGCAGTCGCGAGAGCCGATCCAAGGGAACGCACGTTCAGGGGAAACAACTCTGACTGTTGCCAGGGCACGTTGCCCAGTCCAAAAGCATAGGAGGCGGTATATACAGTGAGGCAGAGAAGCACAGCAATTGGAAGAAACGACTCACCCGTGGCGCCATTGTCGGCTTGGGCCTGTGATCGCGGCTCAGAAGAAAATCCTGGCAGCTCCATGGAGCCGAAAGCCAAAGCACAGACGATTAGTGATACACTCATGACAGGTATTGAATATAACAGAATGCGACGCCGACCAATCTCATCGATCAGCGCAAACGCCAACAGCGTAAAGAGAAAATTGGTCACAGCCACAGATAGAGACGTGAGAGTGGGCGACGAGAATGCGAGCATGGAGAAAATAGTCGCCGAGAAATACATGAGACTGTTGAAGCCGCAAAGTTGCTGTAGTCCTTGCAGCATGGTCGCGATTATCAATGCTCTTCTGTTTCCGCCAACGCGAAAAAGATCTTGAGCACGCTGGGCAACTTTCCCAAGCCATGGTATCCTAGTCCCATCGACACTAGGTTTAATACGGTCCATCTCTTCTTCCTCTTCAGCTACCTCAAGCTGGATACTGCGCACGACTTGCTTAGCAATCTGATGGCTGTCAGACTGGCCCTGATAGACCCTGGACAACACATGGAGAGCCTCTGCCTCCAGCCCCGCCTGGACCAACCATCGGGGAGTTTCGGGTAAGACAACGACAATGATGAATTGCAGCACAGCCGGGAGGGTTCCAAGGCCGACAATCCATCGCCAGCCACTGGTGGTTGTGGAGAATAGCCAGCCAACGATGTAAGCTACAACCTGACCACCAGTGATGAAGAGGCACAAGATAGTCACGAGTCTCCCTCGGGCATGGGAAGGTGCCAACTCAGAAATATACCTGGGGAAAATCATGATCAGCTACTTCGTCAAAGTAACGAGCCGCTCGATCTAAGTCACGTAGTCTCAGACGGCCCGTCTTCCTTCCTGGGGGTAGAATGGTTGACTTACAACGGAGTAACCAAGCTCGCAGCACCAACGGCTAGACCAACAACACTTCTCCCGAGTATCATGCCCCACACTTGGCCAGTAACGGCCTGTATCAAGGCTCCCAGAGTAAATAGAACATCTGCGACAAGTATAACTCTCCGACGACCGAGCTTATCTGCCAATATTCCAGCCAAAGGACTTGCCAATAAAGCGAAGAGACTCGTGCAAGATGTGATCAGGCTCTTGTCTAGGGTCGTTAGGACACGGTCTGACAGATCAGAGCCGATAGATACGAGGGTTGAAGAGATGACGCCTGTACTGTACAGGACGTATATGTCAGTTCGTTTGTTGAGAGGATTTTCTTAATTTGTCTTCCGCAAAAAAAGAGGTGTACGAAAGACCGAAGGACTTACTCATAGCCAAATAGAAGGCCACTGATACCGGCTGAGAATGTCAAGATCCAAATAAACAGGCTGCCTGAGTCCCGTAAGTCCAAGCTCAAGGACTGACTCTCAGCAGCAAAGTGAGCGGTGTCATCAACAGCCGCTTGCTCTGTTGGAAGCAAAGGGGCATCGGCCGCCAACTCATAGTTTGCATCACCGCGATTCATCGCTTAAGCTTCTTTCTTTCCACAGCTAGACATTTGTAGTATACTGACTACAGCAGACAGTGGTCTACTGCTGTCGCATGAGGTTGTCGATAATTGAATGTGGATACAAGGCAGTTTATTGGTACTGCGGTGTACATCATAATTAGTGGCTCCAAGCTCACGGTGTTGACAGCTGACGGATCGGACCCACTCCGCCCGTGCTTGAGATGTTATCAGCGGTGAATCTTTCATCTACAACAGTAATCCACGAAGGCTAAAGGCCGATAAGATTGTGATATCAACCGCTCCTTGACTTAATTTTGGTCAATGTATGAATAGCTAATCAACATTGTCCTCTAATGTTGGGCCACCACACCAGCCTCATTGGCCTGAGAGCTGATCATCTTCTTGTAGGCATCGACAGTGCCATCAAACTTGTGTACTGTACCCTTGTCACAGACCCAAAGGCTGGTGCAGACATTCCGCAGCATCGTCACATCGTGTGATACCATCACCACACCTCCTTCAAACCTCTGCAACGCTTCAGAAAGCGCATCCATACCCTCAATATCCAAGTGGTTAGAAGGTTCGTCAAGCACAAGGATGTGCGGGTTAGTCAGGGAGAGGCAAGCGAATGCGACACGGGACTTTTGACCTCCAGACAACAACTCCATGCGCTGAAGACCCGTAGTTCCGGTGATACCGAAGCTAAAGACGAACGTCAGTCCACATGATAGGGGTCCGGGGGAATCAGAAGATGGTTCGGATCAAACTTACGCTCCCAGATGCCGTCTATATTCTTCATCTGTCTTTCCGGGATAGGTCTTGGCCATGAAGCTCACCGCACTAGTAGTAAGATCCAGCGCGTCGACATGGTGTTGCGCGAAGTAGCCGATTCGTAATCTTGCATGGGTTGAGATCAAGCCGGATGTTGGCTGGAGTTGGCCAGTCAACAGTTTCAGCACCGTAGTCTTACCAGCGCCGTTTGGCCCAACAATACCGATACGGGAATCGAGCTGAACGTCGAGTTCCACATTTCTGAGGAGCAGTTTGTCTTTACTGTAGCCAAAAGAGACATCCGACATCTGTACAATCGGGGGGGAAAGCTTCTCAACATCTGGAAACTTGAAATGGACAACATAATCACTCTCTGGAGGTTCCAGGACCGGCATTCTCTCCAGTTTCTTGATTCTTGACTGCGCTTCGGATGACTTGGCGGCATTATAACGGAATTTGTCGATGAAGGCTGGTGTCTGTCGTCAGAAACATGCAACCAGATGCCACAATAGGGCAAAGAATAACTTACCTTGCAGATGGGCTCGTTCTGCCATTTGCTTTTCATATTCGCGCTTGGCCATCTTCTTCCGCTCCTCCTTGGTGGCATAGAAGGAATCTGAAGTCTATTAGTAATTTCATCAGAGGACAAGAGAGTAAATACTTACCGAAGTTGGCTCCCTTATAGTAGTCTAGTCTTTCAGAATGCTGGTGCACAATATCTGTGGCCACCTCGTTGAGGAACGCTCGATCGTGAGACACTACAAGGATAGTGCTGGGATATGACTGGAGGTAGTTGGATAGGAAGGTAATGGATGGCACGTCCAACATGTTTGAAGGTTCTGCATCGCGTTAGGTCAATATTAATGCTTGATTCGGAATTGAGAGGCACGGAGCTCACCGTCAAGCAGAAGCAAGTCCGGCTCGCAGAACAAAGCCCGTGCGAGGGCCAGTCTCATTCGCCAACCACCAGAGAACGTCTTCGTAGGATATTGCTGTCTCTCCGGTGAGAAGCCGAGACCGGCTAGGATACTGGCAGCGCGAGATTCTGCCTTGTCAGATTCCATCTCGGCCAGCTTGGAATAAATATCGTTCAGGGTTATATCGAGACCCTCTCTCTCATGGTCGAGCCTGGCGGCATCTTTCGATGTGTCTGCCATAGACGACCTTTCCGCTTCGATTGCTGCAAGCTGTTTGCTGATTTTCTGCAAAACGTCAGCTAACTCACTCTCAAAGGAAGAGGCCATAGAGCGGGGCCCACCTCTTGCTCTGCAAGAAGACGCTTCCGCCAAACATCTGCGTCGAGAACAGCCTGAATTGCCGGGGTATCATCGCCCGTAATCTGAAAGCTGATGTCAGCAACAACCGCCAGAGGGAGAGTTTACTAAATAAGCGCACCTCTTGCTCGACGTGTAGAATTGAGATGTGGCTGGGAATGGCTATCTCTCGGCGACTCAGAGCACGCAAGAGAGTAGACTT